TGAACTACATTCACGCAAAGTGGATGGAATTTCAGAACTATTATCCCATCAAACATCTACAAATGGAACAAATATATGAAGATTTCTTTGCACATGTAGTGTTGTTTCAAACACACTTTTCAAAATTATAGTGTACTCTTTAATTTTTCTTATACTCTCATGTTGGCCGTATGTCTCAACAAATTCACGCAAAAGTAAAAGTCTTCATTTCTCGGAAAATAATGTGGATATTTCTGTTTTTTTCTGTCACTTTTACATTTTAGCATTCTTGCAAATGTATGGCTATCTGCTTTGAACTTCAATGTGGTGATTTAAGAATATTTTTTACAAACCGGTTAACACTTTCAAATGCTGCTTTAGCATTATGTGGTAAACATGCACTTATTTTACAGTCTCATATTCTCAACATGTAATTTTGTATTTGAGTGAATCTGCTCCCTCCCATTTATTTCACTTGGTTGCTGGAACACCAATGGACAAAAAAGGATTTTTGTATTTTATTTTATTCTATTCTGTCCACATGGGTATGCCTATTTAAAAGATTTTAAAGGCATACGGTAACTAACTAGCAAAACATGTATCTTTATGCTGTTACAGGTTATAGATTGCACAATGGTTTGGCAACTAAGTAAGTTGGAACAATCAGAAACATCAACCCTTAAACATTTATAGAAACAGAAGCAGGTCCACACTTAATAATTAATCACAGTCCTCACATTTCTAATCTGTACACAGACAGCAAACACAGATCAGAGGACAATTGGAAAACGAGTCAGACAAAAGTCTTGAACTACAATCACAGAATGTCATACAGTCTCCAAAAGATTCAGATATTGAATCCCAGAAAATGCTGTTGTGACCAAGACAGACAGTGAGGCCTAATTCACTGAATTAGTTTCAACTTTCAACAACAAAAGCAAGGCTTAAATTCATAAATCAATTAAGATTTAAACAGATAGATACGGGAAGGAAGGCTGCCTGACAGACACTATGTAGACTATGTAGATAAATGAGTCTTCCCATTAGAAAGTTGTGAAAGATCAAGTCAGATCAGTTGCCTTTATTCCTTTTTACATCTGCTGTTGTACACAACACAGTGTCGGTATGTGGTGTTTGACTTTTTTCCCCCACTGTGATACATGGTAATATGAGAAACAAAGGACAAACTTTAAATGTATGTTTTTGAGAGTCTAGCAGTCTAACTGTTTTCAGTCATTCAGCAGAGATTAAAGGTTACAAAGAGCTTCATTCGTAATAGATTTTCTAACCTCAGTCCAGTTCAGCGGTCTGATGTCAGGGGAGTGGAGCTCTGTTTACTCAGACTTATAGATCCTCCTCAAGTGTAATGGAGGGAAGTCTGATATCTATTAATGGACTGTGTTGCAGACAAGAGATTGTGTGTAATGGATTTTATTTCAGCTTTGCTGCCTTTGAACCACAATGGTTTCAACCAAAATGGCAGAGTGAGGGAAATATGTGATGGTGAGAGCACACTTCTACCCCCTCTCAATTCTCACTCCATTCTCGCCAAGAAATCAGATTGTATCGTTATACTTTTGTTTAGAGGTGCCCGCTGCTACAGGTTTGTGAACAGGATGCAGCACAGAAGGGCTGCCACCTCCAGTGACTGACTGTTGTGTGAGACGAAGCGTGAAGTCGTGTAATGCGACCAGAATCCTAGTCACACTGGTAATTCAGTCCAATCAAACGGAGCAGAGTATGGGCTGAGAGAGCAGAGGAAAAGTGGAGACAGCTGCAGGTGAGCAGAGGAGAGCTGAGGGTCCTTTCTTCTACCAATTTTCTCTGTTCTTCCTGGTGTCTGGACTTCATCGCATTCCTCTCTATTGCAGCAGTTTCACAACATTTATTCTTAATAGCATTTTTAACCTCCGGTCGGGACGTCACATTTGATTTCTAAGTTGTGAAGATCTCCCAAAAAATTTGGAGTGACCTTGAATCTCATTTTTTCTTCAAATAAAAATGAATGCACATTGTGACTGATGGATTCTATCTGCTTTTACAGTAACTCTGAAAATATGTGTAATTTTATCATCATATATGCCATTTTTATTCATTCCCAAACAAAAGTTTCCAAACTTGATACCTAACATTACTCATGTTTTGTCAGAACTGAAATCTTTGATTGAATTCCTCACGTCGATTAATAATAAAAGAGCAATATGTTCCTTTCAAATTACAAAGAATACTTTACCAAACTTAGTTTTTTTCTTTTAGTCATTTATTTGGTTTGTTTGTTTGTATATTTTCTCCTAGATTCACATATTTTGTATTACTGTATTTCATTTCCTTAAAATACATATTTCTACTTATCTTGCTTGAATTTATCCTGTGATTTTTTTTCACAATGGACTCTTTATGCATTATATATTGTAATCGCTTTTGATGTACTGTTCTTTATTGCAAAACCTGTCTGTTCTGTACATTTTTGTTCAGTAAAGGAAAAAAAAACTTAGATCAAAATGCAGCAAAGGCAAAAACTATGTAAAACAGGAATGATGTTTTGCGAAAGCTTTGAGGAAAGAAGTATTGTGGCACAACACCGGCTCTATTCAGGGACTTTGGAAGGTCTACATTAGGTGTCATGACTCATTTGGGTTTCATTGTCTGTCTTCCCCCACGCTCTTATTGCATAAATAAAACTTTTCAGTAATGTCTCTGTCCCTTTTCTCATCCCCGCCCCTCGATCCTCTCTGACTCACAGGAAACAAGATGGAAGGATTCCCCGAATATCTGATGAAATAAGTCCCTTACTGCCACAGTCCCACCCTCTGTTTCCTCGTTTCTCGTCAGTAAAGGTAACATGCGTCTTTAACTCCGTTATCTTTTCTTTACATTCCTCATCCCTGGAACATTTTGTCTATAGTCGCATTAAGCCACTAAGAAACAAGGACTCTAAAGCTGACATTTGAGTGCCTTAATTCATCATTTTGCTGGATGAGTCAGAGATGCATCAGGGTGAGGGAAGATGGTTAAAATGTGAAGCAGGGTGCGTGAACCCTGTTGCCTCGTGAAAGGACAGCTGGCTCTGATGACAACAGAGATGGACAAGGTGGAGCTGCCTGCATCATTCTGACATGGCAGTGACAGCTGACAGCAGTGGACAGCTTTCAAGTTTGACAGCAGCTAAGCTGATTGGCTCTCAGTAGTTACAGCATTCTCTGATTGGCCGAACTGCAAAGAGTTAAGTCCATCAGAGAGGAACTATTTCTGAATAAACGGCTGTGCATGAAGGCAGTGTTACATAACAGACTTGTGCGGAAGTGCTGAACTAAATTTTGCAAAACTTCAAACCAGCTTTTAAACAGGCACATTTCAATATAAAATAGAATATAATTTATTCCATCTGTAATTGCACTCAAAATATAGTCATATATTTATTTTATTTTTAGGAATTTCCATGGTGGCTCACAGCTAATAAAAACACCAAACTTCTCAGGAAACTAGACATAAGACCAAGAGTTTTACTCCCTAAATGTTTTTGTTTTGGTCGTATTGTTATCTTCAAAATCATGAGGAGACTGAGTATTAGACGTATCATTGATGCCTTCCACAAGGAAGGTGAGCCACTAAATGTCAGTATTAAAGAAGTTGGTTGTTCACAGAGGCCCTTAATTTATATGTATTAATAGAATGTTTAGTGGAGGGAAAAATGTGGTAGATAAAGGTGCAAAAGCAGCAGGAAGAACTACAATTTTGGGAGGATGATGGAGAATTCAAAAATCTAGATGAGATTGAATCATCTTTTGAAGTGTATTTTTCCAAGTAAGGGCCTCAGGAGTCACCACATAGATATTTTATGGGCTTATGGCAGTCTCATTCCCTCAGTTAAGCCTTTCATGAGCCGCAGACAGCATCAGAAGCATCTTACTTAAACTAATAAGGAGAAAAGAAAAGAGTGAACTTTTTCTCAGAAGTCCAAAGTCTTCTTTTCAGATGAAATAAAAATCCATACATACAAAAAGAGTGGAGAGGCACAGAACCCAAGTTGTTTGATGTCAACTGCAAAGCTTTCAGAGTCGATAGATGTTAATCTGATGTGTTTCAAGTCACAGAAATCTACCAGGAAACTTTACAGCGCTTCTTACTTCCTTCCCTCTGTTGACAATGGAGATGCTAATGTCACTTTCAAACAAGAGTTGGAACCTTCCCCTGTTGCCAAATTTTGAAATACCTGTTTTAATGACCATGACTGTGCTGGACTGACCTGACTGACCTTTATTTCAGGTTAGTAATCTCAGATGGAGTGTCTCTGGTAACCACATGTGAAAATCCACTGCTTACTCCTGAGTTCTAATTTTCAACCTCTGAAATGTTTAAAGTGTAAATGTGCATTTTAAAAAAAAAAAAAAAAAAAAAAATTCTGACAATGACATTTTGAATGAGTGATAAGTCAAAATATTTGCACGAGTCATAAAGTGGTTTTGTTACCCCAAATAACCCCAGTCTCAAAAGCAATAGTTGCATTATTAGCCTGCCTTACACTCTTTCCATCTGTGCATTTTGAATCCCCACTGCTTTCCTCCATGTTTTTGGCTCATCATATCCTTCAAGTCTTGGCCCCAGGTGAAAGGCCTTCGATGCCCCCAGTGCATCAGTATCAGTGATGCAGTAACTCTCATTGGCAGGCTGGTGTGGCGCCTGACAGAAAAGTCTGTGCCCTCTGTCACTGGCTCATGGGACAAATATAGATGTGCAGCAGTTTTTCCTACCTCAAACATACCAATAGAGACATCCCATTATTTCCGTCTCTCACTGGCTTAAAATAACTAACATTAAGGCTAATTTACTGGAATTTGCAGATGGCCAAAGTAAAGCCAAAAGGTTTTATGACCAGATGAGACAAAACTTGAACTTCACAATTGCAAGAATGTTTGCAGTAGTCAAGGTGAAGCTTTCAAACCTAAGTAACTTTACCAGCTGTCCAGCTGTTTTACTTCTACCAATATGGTTTCATTGCACCAATTGATATGACTATAGAGCTTCTGTATAAAGTCAAATTGTTTGACTTTCCTGCACAGCTAGACCTTGGGTATCAAACGGTAGAATCCTGCAGCTTTTAGATCCAGGAGCATCGGATCAGGGATGCATCTAAAATTTGCAAGACACTGACCGTTGAGGTTCGGAGTTTAAGATTCATGAAACAGACGGTTTGAACTTGGACAAAATTTACCATGAATGCCGTTTCTGTATACAGTATATCTTCAACATTTAGAATTAATTCTAACTTTGTCTGGATTTGATAAAATCTACAGCAATATCATGCTTGTGTACCTAATTATTTTACAGTTGACTGAAGTTGTTGGTTGTGTGCTCAGTCCATCATGTAACCCATGAATATGCAGTTTGATACATTCCAAAAATGCTAAATTGTGCTATCTGTGTCTGATATAAATGCATGCAAACAGTATCTTTACATTTCTTTGCATCCTTTAATTTTTTTCCTCATTTAAGTCTGAGCAACATCCTACTTGACTTGCCACTTTCTACTGAATGCTCTGATGTGTGATGTGGGAAAAATGAAGGAAATACAACATTTGCTTCCAGTGATGCCAACTGGTACTTGGATAAAAATACTGGATGACTTTAGGGAGAAATAGACTGGGATTTCATCTAACTTAAAACTTTATTTAAAAATAAAGAACAGGACAAATATATAACAGTGAGACCTACTTCTGTGCATTCTTCAGAAAGATAACCTTAGAAGACACAGTGCCCTCCTTATTTTGAACAAACTGGACAGCATACTTGAAACATGAAAAGCAGTTTATAATTCGATCTGTGCAGTAGTCTGTCGTCGTTATACATTTCACAGTTGAAAAGATCTACACTGCTCCTTGTCCACCATCATTCTTACTTTAAAAATGAATCATTTTCACAAAATACTTTGTCACAATTACTTCAGTAATTTCTTGGACAGCCACTTTCTACTGAATGCTCTGATGTGTGATGGGGAATCAAACGCTCTTCTATGATCTAAACTCACTGTTCTTGCCATTTTGGAAGGAACTATCCTCCTTCGGCATACAGAGTACTTATCTGTGACATTCAGCAATCTTGCCTCAGGTGTTTATTAGTTGAAGAGGGTCATTTGTGCAAACCCCTACTGCTGTAACTCCAGTGGTTGTTGCCCAGACCACAGTGGCCACAGCGAGGTCAGGGTAGTCTGTTCTGCCAGCCAAACAAATGGATTTTTCTGGCCAAAACTGAGGCTTCTAAGCCAATTGAATGATGTTCTTTGAAGTTCATTTTTCTATTTTACACATAAGTTTGCCTTTGTGACCCACACAGTTTCATTTGAGGGAAAGACAGGTGGAGGAAGATTGATTTGGTAACATCTCACTGTTGAGTAGAATTTAAAATGGAGATCTGGCTGTGAAAACCTATTGGAGTCAAAGCTTTACTGCTCAGCTTGCAGACTGAAGGTCTAGTCGTGGATATTAATAACTTCTATATTCGAACAGATGTAGCATGTGCAGAACTTTCACTTACTCAGTCAATCAATGAGCCATTTGATCACCCAGAAACAGTGGCTCACTCTCTGTTGCACTTTGTGTCTCTTTCTTTGGCAAGCATGCAGATGCAGACATCATAAAAGCTGGTAATCAACTTAAACTAAAATATATGTGCATACATTAACTCCTTGGGCTTACAAGGTGATAGTGCATTCAGAACATCTATTATCTCTTTATTATAGGCTCTTTAGACAAACATTTGAGCAGCTTACCAGGCAGAAGGCCTTCAGGTCCCAAAGTTGAGCCAAGTCGATCGTGACTCTCCTCACTTGCTTTTTGTCAGTTTTTGTATTTTCTAGCACATTTCGCTTCATTGGATCACATCAAAAAGTAGGATTGCACCAACAGCTTGGAGATTGTTTTTCCCAGCAGCTCCAACTCATGTGTTGTTCTCAGCAGTACAATCCAACAATCAGTATGCTTTACAAGTAAAACAATGCCAGAGTTCACTGTGTGAATCTGAACAGTAATTAGTGTCTCCCACTCCTTTGCCTCCTTGTAACAGCTGTACTTAAATAAGTATGCAATTAGTGTTCAGTTTTTGTCCGTAAATGTTTCTGTGAGGATTTCAGTGTGACTTTCAGCTAACCTGTTTGCTAAAAGACTCCACTTAAAAGTTTCATGTTGTTAGTTGCTTTCTTTTTTTTTTCTCCCCATTACAATGAGTTTTATAGAAACTTCCCATCATTTCTGCTATATAGAAAAATACACAATTTTGTTCGTCTTATTTTGCAAACTGAAAAAATGATTATCATCTTGGTTAGGTCCATCCAGTATAAGAAGAAGCTAACTTAAAAACATCTCAATCTTCTTTTTTTAGAAGTAGGTCAGTGTTGATATTGGATGTTTGAGAAATGTCTGATGGAAAGATTTTCACAGAAAGTGCCGTACTTTCAAAGAACAACAGCCTGTCTTTTATTTCTTCCCTTGTGTGTTTCATATTGTATTTCCTTGTCTGTCTCCCACTTCCTCATGCTCTTGTGTCAGACTCAGTCTTGACTATGTGCAAATGATAGTCACAGCTGTTGTGCCTGTGGTAAAGATCGGGCTTCATCATGCTCTGAAATACAGTGTCTTGTATACACAGCTTCAAATATTAAAGTCATGATCTCCAAAGCTCTAAGCTTTGTATTTTCTTAGCCAGAGACACTGCAGGGTTTGTTCAGTTATTTGCAACATGATGTAAGCTTCCTTTCATCACCTGTTGCCACACAGACAGAAAGAAGGATGTGATTGCTACATGACATGGGAGAAAAGTCTAAACATTCACCTTCCTTAACAAAAAAGGACAAAATTTGCTGTTTGGAAAGAGCAAAAATGCAAACAATCATTGCTCTGCTACTGTGGAGAGTTTTGACGCATCCCGTTTTAAAAATAATGATTGTAAACAGATGCTTGGCATAAAGCTGTGTTGGTTGGTGTGTCTGTCAGTAAAATAGGCAGCCCACTGAAGGCTTAGAGAGGAAACCCTGGATAATTAACACATAAACTCAACTTGTCAGACTCCCAACATCACTTAAAAAGAGCAGAATGACACTTAAGACATAATAATCTGCAAATTAGATGTTTATTTTAGAGCTGTAGCAAAAGTGAGATGGTAGTAATTCTAGAAAGAGATGGCCAGATGGGGACATAAAACACCAAAGCCAGTATGAAGAGAAAATAAGATACTTTTATTATCATAATGTCCTTATATCATAGAAATGTGGGTGGATGATGTACATTCAAAAGTTACAGGAGCAAAAAACATCATGTCCACACAAATAGATAAATGTTTCAACTCAGAGACTTTAAAGCACATTCTTATACATATTTAGCAGATAATAGTGTTTTACCTGCAGGACCAGTGGGGGTCAGGATGACATCCAGCTGTTTTTAAATCAGACAGGACATAATAGAGGAAATAAATAAAACAAAGAATTATATCTATAGCATTAATAACTCTTCTTGAAATATGTTATGTTATTTTAGCAGTAGGAGTGGAGAAGTTTTGTTTGAAAAGAAAACCAGTAAGATAGTAAGATTAATTTCAGCATTTCATGTTTCATGTTTGTCGCACATTAAAAATTTAGCTGAGGAATTTCAGTCTAAATGTGCCTGATCTTCAACTTGCCTATGTTATCTTACACTGTATTACTTTTAAGTTATAGAAAAATGTTATGTAAGAACATTATTTTAATTTTCTAATGGCTTGCAAGAAATAGAAAGTTGTACTTCAACCATATAGGATTTAAATCCCAACCAGGATTGTACTAATACTTGATGTATTCCTCATCTCAACAACTTATAAAGCATGCCATGCTGTACAATAGTGTTCAATGTTTTTTTTTTTTTAATCTCTTTAGTGAGTCGTGTTTCAGAAATTCCCACACTGACATTTTTTCTGGACAAAAAACAAAAAATTCCAAATGAGATGGCTTGAGAAATCTGAAATGAAAGAAAAGAGGAACAGAATAAGTCACATCTTGTAATATAAGAAAAAGAGAACTAAGAAGTTTCTTTCAGTTTACATGTAAGTTTGTGTGAGAGATTGCATGAAAAAAAAGAGAAGATATTTGCAGAGAAGACAGGGAGGGGAGCAACATTGTTCCTCCTCTGTCCTACTTCCTAAAGAACAGCTGTGTGTCTGTTTCACCGGGAGGGCGGTGGCACCGGGGGTTATTTGAAAAGAGGAAGGAAGGAGAAATAATATTTTCACATTACAGCACAAGCTCTTGACTCAAACATTTATGTATGGTTTCTGATGGACAGCGATCGAGTTTTCTCTCCAAGTTTACTTGCTGAGAGAGCGTCAGTGTCAAGTGTCACTGTCAATCTTGCCTTTTTTCCATTTGGCTGACTGTGACATTAACACCCGCACTCTTGTCAGCTCGCCTGCTTCTGTACTTGTGGAATGATGACTGAGCTCAGGATAGGAAAAGGTGCCGTATTGGAGGGACTTCTGAACAGTCCCTATAGTAAGCCTTTTCTCAAGAGACGATGCCTCAGTGATGTGAGTAATGTAAACATTTGCTTGTAAGATTTAGACTCTTTTCTCAGTAGATATCGTAACTTTCGAAATTGATTTCAGTTCACTTTTTTTTCCTCAGACAAAAATGAAGTAGTAGATTGGTTTATCTTGTATTTTTGCCTAATAAAAGACTCTTTGTTTAATTTGTTTGCATTTGTACATGGATTGCTCTTATGGAAACCTGTAACAAATTATGCAAATTTCTGAGGGGCATTTAACTTCAGTTGCCATCTATGAGAGAGATCAAATCTAATCACTTTACTGTGGAGTCAGAGGAGTTTACTAATAATCTTGACAGAGCAAAAGAGAATATTTGTTCATACCTGTGTTTGTCATGCGGGAAGCAGGGTCTCCCTGAACATCATATGGTGGTGTTTATTTTTACATGCAACAATAGTTTGAGGCTGCTCCTTTGGCTTTATGAGGTCAGAATCGGATGAGCGGATGCATTCCTGGTTGCAGGCAGTGACAGGTGCGTGCATGAGTCAGAAGAGTACATTGCAGTACATGTTCATGTAAAAAGATGGATGTTCTCCCCAATGCCTCCGTGTGCATATGTGTTTTGGAGGGCCTGCAGCTCCCCTCAGTAAATTGAAGCTGTCATGTGGAAATGTCAGCTTGCCACTGCAGTCCAGTTGCGTTACATGGTGAACTGACAGTGCAGCCTTTACTGCGAGTGCTCTTTGCAATGCTCCTTCTGCACAAGTTGGAACTGCTACAAGCCTTTATTTAATGTGGATGCCTCAGGGTATTTTCTTTGACCTCCACCAGTGCTTCAGCTAATTGGACAAAACACTGAGCAAAACACATAAGATCGGTAACAGTGAGGGGTTGAGGTGTAATTAAAACTCTTTGGCTGGATTGAAATATTTCCATCTTATGAGTAGAATCAGCTCTCTAAGTGGAGAGCTGACTCTATTTTCATGACTGAAAATAAACTTAATTTTCAGTGTCAGGTAATTTTTGCTTTCTTTCTGTTTGCTACATGATAAGAAGCACGGAGTGTGTCTCAGTCACGCATTGATGTGACTTTGTGCTTCACATGGCAGAACCAGGATGTGCAGCAGCTAATTTGCTAATTTGGCAGTTGCAAACAGTCAGAGGAGCAGTTGGCTTTTGCGACATAGAGAAGCACCCCGGTGCTTTGAGGCTCATTTTCCCTCCCCGAGAGTTGCTTGTTTACAGCGTGTTTATCTTAAAGCGTAAAGGAGCAATTTCAAGGGTTATGTTGGCAGTGAATGTAGAGAGCTGTGTCAAGTGGGGCAGGGAGTGCAGACAGAGCAAAAATTTAATTTGAGGTGATGAAACTTTCCATTCTTCATCTTTTGGAAATGTACCATCAGGCTATTCATTAAGCAGAGAAATATAAGACGACTCTGGAAGGTATGGTAACATCTCTACAGAATGTAAAACCCATGTGCCTTTGTGGTGTCAACTCTCTCCCCCAGACCTCAGACCTATTTGCCATGATTGAACGGATGCAGGTACAGTAACAGGTCTCCTGGCTCACCTATTAAACTGTCTGCTTCCCTTCTCACAAGCTTTAATCAAATGGCAAACTAAGAATTTCACTCACGTTAAGCGTACTTTTCCCTGCTAATTCAGTTTTCTGACCCCCCTTTTTTTCTTTCACTTTCCCCTACATTACTTCGCCCTGCAGTCCAGCGAGTTCAGCTCTTGTATGTATTTGTCCTTGCATCTGTCTGTTATATCGGCAGCTTCAGGCTGTCTACAGAAACCTTCTGCTTCTGAATGTGCTCAACAGAGCCTCCTTTGTGTTTTCTCTTCACAGATGGGTAGTTTTGTCTATGTCATCAGATGTGTGAAATGTAACGATTTTCATTTTGCTGAGGTTCTTCTTATGCATCTAGTTTGTCTTGTCAGTGCAGCAGCAACACAGACGTGTCTGAAATACATTTGATATTGAAGGGAGAGCTACAGTTGGTGTTTGATCAAACATCATATTTGACTTCACAGGCATTCATGTGGCTTTCCTTTGAGCTATGCTCTTGCATAATTCACCTGTTTTCTTTCAGCTGTGACTATCTAGTCTGTTTGTGTCGACATTTTTTAGACTTTTAGTAATCCAGCAGAGACTAAAATAGTTGTATTTTGTTAGGTATGTAGGGCCTTAATAAAGAACAACTTATGTTTCTTTGAAGCTGGCTATTGATTTTAAATCTTATTTTTGAACACCTTAATTTGCTTTCACAAATGATCAAGTTTATATATATATATATTATTAGGGCTGTTGTAAACAAATATTTTAGTAGTTGAGTAATCCATTGATTATTCTTGCAATTAATCGAGTAATTGGATAAAAAAAAAATTGATAAAATAAAATATTGGTAAATCTAGCATAACACCAGTGTTACTACTGGATATGAACACGGACCAACTTTTCATATTTGAGCATCCCTAACACTAACGGTTACTTTTTAGTAGTTTAGAAAAATTAACCTGTAAAAATAATAGCTCACTTTCTAAGTTAACCTGAAGAAAATGTATACAAAAATCTGAAATTCTATTCAATTTAATAATAAAGAGGCAGGCTTACAAATACGCTTCTAAAAAAATGTCTATACCCCCGCTTTTAGTTTATTCATCTTCGAATGAACGAGTGTAAGATGGGGGGATTTGAGGTAGAAAATAGACCAGGAGACCAACAGTACGTCCGGGGAAGACGAACAAACATAATGTGGGGGGGGATACCACCGGTAGACCAGAGTACGAACGTAAGACCGAGAGCAATACGGGAAAGGGGGTAAAAAACGGTAGTTTCCCTGCCAAAACGGGAGGCTTCACAGGTGTGCCTTGCCACAAGTTTGTTAGCAACGGGATTTGACACCTTCGTTCGTCACACTCAGATGATTTCCGCCTCCCGTTTGTTGAGACCGGGGTGATATAAAATGTATTGTGCGGTTCGTCCGTAAAGCTACATTTACACGGTAAGCATCAGCTACTCAGCCGCCCTCCGTGTTCAGTCTATCCGCTCACCTGTATAAATACTCCTCAGCGCTCTTCCCGCTGTTCGGCTTGAACCAGCAGGTCCCGGAGGAGAAAAGCTGCCGTACGTACTTCAGGCATCGCTCCAGTCATTTTAAGGATGTCTATTGGTCCCTCGAAAACCTGGGCATTATTATCAATCGATGAAATCCCCACCGGCCGAACTTGAAAATTGGACGTTAAGATGATTACACTTAGCTTTCTCCAACAACTCAGAGGCGGAAGTGAGAGCTCTGCGCGACGCAGTTAATGTTCCGGCCGGAACACCTTGCGCTACATAATACAACATAATTTAACGAAGCTTCGAGGCAGATCAATTTTCATCGAGGAATTTTAATAATTTGAGGTACTCGAATCATTCGAGGAATCGTTTCAGCCCTAAATATTATAAGTACTATGTTCATATTTCAGCTTTTTTACTTTCAATAGTCCAAATTTGAAAGGAAATTAGTCAGACTTATATATAGCACTTCACTGGAACATTCAAATATATTTCTACATGAAGTCATTTCCACTCATTCACACACTATGTATGATACAAATCTGCTGAATTTGATACATTCGGTAAATTTGATACATTTCTAACCTTGCTGTGTACACACCCTTGCTAAATTTGGTACATTTCAAACCCTGCTGGAGGCTATTCAACAGAAACAAAATAAATGGCTACAGAGCTCATTTCAACCATCATTTATCTTTCTGTGCACACTGGAAACTGTCAGCACTTATAAACTCAGCAGAGTGTGATGTCGATGGAATCATAGTAAAAAAGTACAGATAATGGTATCTGCATTATGGCTGTTCACATGAACATCCCCTACTTATCTTTTTTTACTCATTATAGCTTGTAAGATGTCACTCTTTTTCACTTCCTCTTTCTTTAACACATCTGGCTTTTGAGCTTGCATCTTTGAACATCAGCTATTGCAACAATGATCATAAAGAACACTGCCACACAATAAATTTATTTGCTGCTGAGAATCAGTTGTACCCTCATCATATTTTTTTTTGTGTGTGTGTACATTTCTGCGAACACCTTTCAGAGATATTGGACCTTTTCCATCACTACATTCTCTATTTTTTCCTTTCTCTCAACAGGGGTACAGAATGGATGAGCAAAGATGCCCCTTCCCTCCTCCCCTCAAAGTGAGTCACAAATTCACAAATCTCCTCGTAGTGTACAGTCTGGTAAAGCATCAGGAATGGCAGTGTTATAAAACCTTTCCTTATCAGCTGTCAGGCAGGCTTTAGGGCGCTCTCCTACTGAGTTATGAGCTAAGGAGCGACAGGGACAGCAACATTTTCTGCTGTCTTATCTAGACTGGCTGATGGAGTCCTTGCTGAAGTCCGGACTCAGCAAGAGGTCTGGGGTCACGTCAGAAAGACCAAATGTTGGTGGATTTGGCTAAAAGGGGATTTAGAATAAAAAAAACATACTTTCCAGTTCTGGTTCTGGTAAGCTTAGCTGAACAGCAAAAGGAAACACAACAAAGCTGCAATTATTAAATCCAGCTTATGATCACTTGTCATGTATGAACATCGTATTACAATTGACCCTGACCCTGGGACAGCTTAGAGTTTCTTGGTAGGTGTTCTGAAACACGATTGGAAGCTTGAGTTGCTCTGTTCTCATCCACAATCTGACACAAATAGGCTGTGGTGAGGATTGGCTCTGTAGAATATGCAAGAATGAAATTGCGAGAAATGCATACACAATGGCCATATTTTGCTCTTTCAATATAAACTAAGATCAGTTTGAAGAAACTATCTAGTCTATTTTTTTATTGTGTATATTGTTATTAAATATTATGCTCTATCGGAGTCATATTTGTCTGAATTAGTTCTACAGAGCTTATAGCAGCTACAACATCCAAGACCAAACTAGATAATTAATGTGTATGTCAAACTTTTGCTTTGCCTGCTTGTTGAGTTCAAATTCTGTCCAGTACTGTGAAACTACATCGAGGACAACACAAGACTCATAAAGTATATTAAATTTGCATCATAAGCAGTTTTGAACCCCAATGTCGTCCACTTCGACTGTAATTACGCAATCCTCTCCAAAGGTGGATCTTAAAACTCCTACTTCGTCTTCTACTTCTCTCAGTATAGCCAATGTTTGTGATAATGCAACAAGAAAGATTAGATGTTGTGTAAGAAACTGTGACTTTCACTTTTTCTGTGCTATTTTGAAGTGCTAAATGGTGACAGTTTTGCCTGCATACAGGCTACAGCTTTAAATTAAGTATTTCTGCTTTGGTAGGACTGTGTGAAAATCTTCTTTTGAGAAGGGGAAACACTGCATGAAGAGAAACTGCAGCATGTCAATGTTTTTAGAGTCCAATTAAATTAATACCACACAAAATAAGCACAATCTCCACAAGCCAAAGGGAGAGAAAATGGTCTTAGCACTTCATGCATTACCTGCAAAGTAAAAGAAATTAAGCCTCTAGTGCACACACTCGGCTGGAATATTATCTTACTTTTCTCCCTGAGAGGCTCTTGGCCTTTTCTCACATGGAAAGGTTTTAGCACCCTGTCACTAGGGGTTACAAAATACAGGATTCAAACTTCTACCAAATCCCTCCCAAGATCAAAAGAGAATCTCAAACCTAACATCAGTAGGACAAATTTTTGTAGATTAGATTAGCTTTTAGATGGATTTTTCTGTAAAATCAAATCAAATTATTCCCGTTAGATTTGGTTTGAAACTACAGAGCAACATGTTGTAGCACATTTTATGATTTTGCCATAAGATGTTATGCGAGAGGGAATCTCCCAAAAATGACATGCCTATGATGACATCACATAATGCACGAGGCTTTGGAGAACCTCGGCCTGTTACAAAAACAAATGTTGTTGGACAATAAATTCCCCCAGACATTATTGCAATAAATGATATAATAGTATATATATGTAATCTATTACATAAATAATATAATAGTAATGGCATAATAATCCAAGAAAACATTCTCCAAGGTCAATAAACTTTAAATCCTAATGAACATGTAATGAACACAGGAACCGGAACACGTTTTAAATTTTTAAAAAGGATAAAAACAAAACAGAAACAGTTAATACAATGAATTATGGAATCTTTTTGTATACAAAATTGTCCTTCCAAGAAAGACAGACTGAAGACTTTTGCCATCTAGTTTTTGGAACAAAAGTGGGCAGAATATATTGAATATTGTACCACAGCATCTACTTTATTCTTGAGTAAAATAGGTACCACATCTTATGTGGTTTGTTTTTCTTCCTACAGACAGAAGAGGACTACATACCTTATCCGAGTGTTCATGAGGTACATTTCTAGTCATATCTATGACTGCATATAGCTTATCCTCTATACATGAGTGCATGGTTTTTGATTAAATAATTCAACTTGAAACCTCAAAAGAGCTGTGTTATCTTTTTTTATTTTTTTCTCCATCATCCTCAGGTTCTTGGTCGCAGTAGCCCTTTTCCCCTCATCCTGCTGCCCCAGTTTGGAGGCTACTGGATTGAAGGAACCAATCATGAGCCCAAAGAGCCGCCAGAGGCCGACCACCGTCCCTGTCCAGCCTCCCACGTTAAACTGGAGACAAACAGCACTGCCAAGATCTACAGGAAGAACTTCATGGGCAAGGTGAGAATGGTGGTTCTGTATATAATTTTCACTGAAATAAAACTGCGGAAATGTGTTGGTTAAAGCTGCAATATGTAAAATATTTATTCTACATATTTCTTAAAACTAAGTTATGACAGTATGAGAGATAATTTGTGAGAAAATCACACCCCTTCACCTCCTCCTAATGAATCTGCAGAAATAAGCTGCTAGATCAGAAACAACCAATCAGAATTAGGAAGGGGATCTAAGTGGCGTCAATGAGCCTTATGTACACGCTGCTCAAGATTGTGATTTGCTGAAGGTGTGCTAAAGGTGGAGAAACAACTTACTGTTGCAGGAAAACTGTCTATCCCCCATCATTGGAGGCTTACAAGCTGGTGCATGCATGGTAGGCACCACCGTGGAAAAGGAGAGGTAGCAAAACAGAGAGCAAGAGGGAGGACATGAGCGGCATGTACACAAGAATGATTGACAGCTCTAAGAACCTCCTGCTGGCTCGGATTGGTTGTTTCTGACAGAACAGTATTTCTGCAGATGGCAGTAGAACCACAAAGAGGACATAGAGGAGCTTGACTTTTCCACAATCTGTCTCATATTATACTGTCACTACATCATGATAGCTTTAGCAAATATGTAAAAAACAGTTTTGTTTTGTTTTTTTATAAAAGTTACCCACTTTAGTGTTTTTTCAAGGGACTTTTTTTTTTTTTTTTTTTAAAAAGCAAGTCAATGAAAACTAGGGAAATCGTACAGATCATTTCTGCTCTACAAAGCCTGTTTCAAAGTGAAAAGTTTGAAAAGAGCATGTTGTAAAATCCCACCATATGTTTATCTAAAGTATGCTCGAGTTTTTGTGCAGCTATTGCAAGACTGTCTTAGTGTTCACCAGACTGTGCAATAAAACCCTTTGTACGATGATAATAAGATTGTTATTCTCGGCTCCACTCCTAATTGTGAATTTATCACAGCAGTATCTTTTTATTATTGTGTCACCCACTGTCAGTTCTTTGTGGAATTACATCATAGTAACATTTCCTTCACTTATCTGCCCCCAGGAACACTTTAATTACTACACGATGGATGCTGCCCTCGGCCACTTGGTCTTCTCAATGAAGTATGAAGTCATTGGGGATCAAGAGCATCTGCGCTTGATGCTACGGTACCATTATGTTCCATTATTTCCCTCCATCTCTGACTTGTTTTGTCTGCTGTTAATGTTTTGTTTTTCTATCTGCCCTCTGTTCATCACAATAACAGCACCTTTTGTTTCTGTATTCCCTCCAAGTTTTTAACATTTTGCCCTGTACTTTTTCTTCTTTTTGCATGCAGAATGTAGTGTCGGTATGTTTCTTTTTTTCTTCTTTGAGGGGCCTCTCAAACACACAAAAAACCTGAATCAACAAGAGAGAAGTAGGGGTAATTTGCTGCTTGCTTTTTTTAAGAGTGGTGACAAAATATCCAGCAATCAACCCAGCATTCACCTCTGCTGAAAAAGTGGAAGGCCTTCCACCCACTATTGCCCAAAGTCATGTTTATTCACTAAAATCCTCCACTCCATCACACTTACTGAGAGAGAGGAGCGGGTGAGAGGCAGCACTCAGTGTGCAGTGTAACCTGTGAATTAAATTTAGCACCCAAGAGATTCCTCTTAAGATTTTAATAGCAGCGCTCCTTGCTTGTTAATGGACCTTCAGAGTGGATGACTGTTCGGTGTGGTAGCAGTAACACAGCTCATAATGTTTTTCACGTTGTCCTGTTTTCTGGTAGGTGAACACCACCCACAGTCACCCCTTCAATTGGATGTAATCACAGGCAGTGGAAAATAGTCATATTTAACAGACCTGAAAGACCAGCAGAGTAACTCACGTTGTATTTCTATTTTACTGAAAATGCTCAATATAATCAGCCAATATGTCCACTGGCTGATTCAAGTAGCCTTGTTTAAATGATGAGAGCTGATAAAAGGGTTTATCTTGAGCTTAAACGATGCTACAGGCTGACCGAGGGAAGGGTGTGAGCGGCATGCACACGAGCATGGTTGACAGTGCTACAACATCTCTGATTTGTTATTTCTGACCAAGAGCTGTGTATTTCTGTAGATGGCTGACGAGCCATCTGCAGAAATACAGATTATCTGTCTCATATTCTACTGTCAGAACAAAGAGATTGTTTAAAAAAAAGCATACAAAAGTTAGCTATCGCTCTTGTAATACTGTTTCTAAATTATTATACTTATTTTTGCAGTTTGAGTCAGGCTTAGCAGCGTTCATAATTATACTTGCTAAGCAAGAAAATTGCTGTTCTTGAGATGGATTTAATGAGTCTCAACTCTGTATTTTCAAGGTAATTAGCTCTCAAGGTGTTGCATGTTTACTTTTAAAAAGAAGAAAATATTGTTTGTTACTGCCTGCAGCATTTTGAATATTTTTTTTCACTAGTGTAAGAGTTATATTTTAATTTGCTACAACTACTAATAAAGAAGAAACTAACTATATTCTACAAAGTGTTGATCTTAAAGCTTCTCACCTAATGTCTTGACGTTTGCATGTAATAATTTCTTGGTGGCTTTTTATGGGTGAACATTTCTTTTTTGTTGTTTAACTCCTTCCATTTTCCTAAACTCTTGCATTGCTATTTACCTTTCAGCACAAAATACAAAACCCATCATGATGTGATCCCCATTTCCTGCCTTACTGAGTTTCCCAATGTGGTTCAGATGGCAAAGGTAGGTAATCACAATCACACTGAATTAGTAATTAAGTTGTATTCAAAATGGATGAAGCTCGTTGTTGTTTCTATTATTTTGCAGCTTGTTTGTGAAGAGGTAAACGTGGATAGGTTTTACCCTGTCCTCTATCCAAAGGTAGCTACATTTTTTCCTCCTTTTCCATCTCATCCATCAACACTTAATCATCATGACGTGACATGAAGAGCTCCCCATTTTTTCATCCCCAGGCTTCAAGACTCGTTGTCACCTTTGATGAGCATGTAATCAGCAACAACTTCAAGTTTGGAGTCATTTATCAAAAGTTTGGCCAGGTGGGTGCATTTCAGAGATACTTCAGCTAATCTTTGCTTTCAGACTCACATGTCAAACTCCTGGAAAATGTTTTCTGCCTGCTGTTTGCAGACATCAGAGGAGGAGTTGTTTGGGAACATGGAGGAAAGTCCAGCCTTCATTGAGTTTCTGGAGTTTTTGGGCACAAAGATTGAGCTTCATGACTTTAAAGGGTTTGACATTTTTCAGTTAATTTCTTTAAACACTTTAAATTTTTAGTAGAGTACTCTACCTAATGTCTGTAAAAGGGAGACTATCAGTCACTCAGTGGCTTATCAAATATTTCTTTCAAGAACTAGAGAAAAAAATCAAAAAGGATTGAGTTGCTGAGATTGTAAGCCAAGTAGGAAGATGGAGTTCCCTTCATTAATTGAGTGGTCATTATAGATCAAGAGCTCTGATAAAATTACATTCTACTGACAGCATCTTCTGTCCCCTCAAGATTTTTATCCTTTTACGCCAAATTTTCTTCCTCCTCCATCTGTTCCTCTATTATGTTTAGTTCCCATACTTCTTTTTTGCTTCTCCAGTTTTCGAGGTGGACTTGATGTCACTCACGGGCAGACGGGGATGGAATCGGTTTACACAAATTTCCATAATAAGGAGATTATGTTTCATGTGTCCACCAAACTGCCTTATACGGAAGGAGACTCTCAGCAGGTACAGACAAATCCCAGTTATTTATGACTGTTGTAGTGTTGTCAAGTCTTTCTGGTTTTTATTTGTGACGTTTTCCTGTTGATCTGGCCTGGGTTGCGAGCTTAGTTTCAACTAATGTAAATAAGACTGATCTTTTTCCCCCCCCCCGTGTTTATTTATGCTTTTCATGATTAGAAAAAGGGTATACCATTTTAGAAAGTTTATCTTTTTTTATTTATTGTGAGAAATTGAGGAAGAAAGTTACATTAAAGTTTTGCTGGAATAGTTTTGAAACCATTTTAGAGATTTCCAGATTTCTTTAACTTTTTGTTGAAGAAGCGTGAAACCCAGATCGAATCAGATACGAAACAAAATAAGTCCAATATAGTGAAAATAAAAATGAAATAAATAGACTTCATAAACACTTGATATCAATTGGCCTTAAGGGATCACATTTGGTGGGTGTTTTTGCAGATGTCTAAAAACACCATATTGCATAATTTCTCTATGTCAGGGCTGTTCAATTAAACACATTCCTATTTAAATGTTTCTCCAAACAGCGTAAAAAAAGAATGTCATCAAGAAAAAACAAATCATATATTATTTGTCACATTCTCTTTTCCAAGTATGGTGTAATTTAGTTTCCGATAACTAATCACGTTAAATAACTTCAAGGACTTCATTATTGTCCAAAATAATTTAATTTTTTTCTATCATCAAGCAACCCTGCTTTATGGTTCTGTGTGGTAAAGTGTGCAAACCTAAGTCATGTTTCACTGAGACAAAGGAGGGAGTACCCGTTCCAAGCAGGCCATAACTGTCCTTTGTGACCTTTAACCTTTAGCATCCTAACCAAGACTAAAGATTTAGTTTAACGTTTCTTTTATTCTGAGCATTTCGTCGATCTGACCTCAAGGATTGTAGCAGCCAGCAACTGATGGGCATTTCTGTCACATAACGCTGAGCTGCAGTCATTTTTAGTCAGCCTAATAGCCTTTTTCAGATTGATAGCAACAATTTCATCTCTCATACCGTTGCTGGTGTCTTCCCTTTCAGGCATTTTGTAAACAGAAACTTAAGTACTCCTTATCAGCAAACTACACAGGCTTCTGCCTTACAGATGTGCTCACACCTACTGCTAATTACTTGACTGAGTGCCTTTGATTAGCAGCACCTGGCTGCCAATTACCCAGTTAAATTTCAAAGAATCAGTAAGGGTGTACTTTGCACACACCCACTAGAGAGAGGCTGCAATAGGGAAATTTCAGACCCTTAAAAGAAAAATGAAAATAAACTGCGCTGTTTTTTTTTTTTTCTGGTGGTAGATGAGGGGGGTTTTGTCTTCAATGTGTTTATCTTAGCACTTGGACAAGGCAAATTGGTGCTGCTGTTGACAGAACCACTAACCTTCCAGTTTGTGAACAACCCCCTCCTGGCAGTGACAAAAATAATTGCAGAGCCCCAGATCGTAGATGAAGAAAAAGGGATTCAGGAAAGCAACTGGAAAAGAAACTGTGCCCTACTTTAGAAGGACTCCCTCAGCCGCTGTGGTCTGCGCACCATCATCATCGCTAAAGTATGAAAACTCTCCAAACTGTGCCAAAATAGATGTATTCGTCCTGATTTGAATGTTTTCCAGTATTTCACCTCAGAGATTGCACCAAATATTTGAATATCATACTTGACTTATAATTTGGTCATGCTGTAGTTAGTATGAGTAGATAAAAAACAGTTATTAAGGCAGAAGGAAGTGGAAACACCCTAGTGCACCATAAAGTGTATAGGTTCATAAAGTGTTTTCACTTTCAGTAATTGGGTGGTTTTCCCCCTGTGCATTTTTCTTGAATTTCCTGGGGGTAAAAAGAAACAAAAAAAAATTACCCCAGGAAAAGGCTCTTGTAATAAGGTAATATTTTTTCATTTACCAGGACCCTTCAGGATGGAGTGACGTGGAGGAAAAGTTTTATGAATCTGTTCCCACTATGATTCAGTTGTATCAGTTTAAAAATGGTCTCCGGAAAACTTTCTGTTCATTTTTCACTTTCTATTCCAGTCATCAGCATTGTTTGTAGACGTCTTTGGCCAAAGCGAAAGTAAATCCTTCGTTCAACATGTTAATTTACAGTTTTAACCTATTTATGTTCTGAGGCACAAATAAAAAGATCTGTTTATGTGAATCATAGATCTTTAATGATGTACTGACAGCTGCTGCTGTTTGGGTGTGCTTTAGTGTGATGCTCACACTTTATTCATTAAATGTTTAATCTTCCTCTGATTCTGAGATTTTTATAATACACAATCACAGCGTAGTCACTGTGAAATTATCATGGGAACAGTGGCTTTTAATCCTGACCAGAACTATTTCTTCTCTTATCTCAGAAGTGATAGAATGCATGAGTTTACAAAATCCCTTTAAAATTTGCTACAGTTGCACCTTTTTTGCAGTTAATGACTACATAAAAAGCAACTCTAGTCCTTGAGTGAGACAGTCCTGCAACTTTTGAATAGATCCCTGCTCCAATGCACCTGGATCAAATGCATGGTTAATGACCAGGCCTTCCAAAACCTGGTAATTCAGCCTTTTTATTTCTCCCTTATTTGTTGACGGTGATGCAGTTCTACAGGAAAAAATTATTTTTCTAGCAACTTCACTTGAAATGATCATAGCAGATATTTCAGTATATAATTTCTAGTTTATCCCTTTCCTCTTCAAAAAAAAAAACAGATGGTTCCTCTGTGATGTCACAGGAGGGACATGAACATGGATTTGATTTGTTTTTGGAAGGGTACATTTTATTTTGATTAAATAAGTTAGAATCAAAATTGCCAGAAAAAAAAAAAGAACGATCTTAACATGTTGTCCTATAGTTGAGAAACTACACTTAAAATGAGCTTCATTTTTTTTTTTTTTTTACAGAAAAGCTGTGCTCATAGCTATAATGTCTCAGACACTTTTCTCTGGAAAAGTTGTAGGCCATGAAATGTCAACAGCTCTTATTCAGCTTTAGAAAATAAACAGTTTGCTCTGTTAACCATCATTTATTTTAATGACTGAGAAGGTTGCAGCTAACTGGTGCAGCTAAGTCTTGCCATCTGTTAAGTTTCCCTAATTAACACAATGTATCTCATTCTGTGTTCCAACTAAATATTATACTCGTACATTAAAAAAAAATAACAGAGACCCTAATCTTCCCGAGTTTTGCCTGAAAATATGAAGACAATTACAAAAATCTTATAGGTGATAAAGTTAAAATGCAATGGAAATGTTTTTAGTTTTTCCTGTTTCTGTTGTTGAGAAATAACACTGCAGTTCTTCCTTCCTTCCTGCATTGAAATTCTTACTCTGTTGGTTTCTGCCTGCAGACTCTCATCTCTCTGCTATTGTTTTTGTAAAGTGCTGCATTTGTTCTCAGAAGCTCTTTAGTGCCATGAGTTGTTTGAACTTTGTCACCAAAGTAACCCTGTACAGTTGGTTCATAAAGCCAAGACATGGAGACAAACAGAGGACATAAACACCGCCCACATGGGATGATTCATCAGGGAACAGGAAAAAGGAGGCAGGGAGCACACTTAAAACCAAAGCCTTTATTCTGGAAGGCAAGTAGGCTGAATTTATCCAAAGTGATGATCTGGCCTGGCAGTAAATCTGCATGGAGAGAATAAGCTGAAAAATTTTAAGCTGTCTGAGTTCGGAAAGTGTGTGTGAGAGGAACTACTAAAAATGTCAACTATAAAGGGATGAAGCAGCAGCAACCTGGCTGCCTGAATTTACATATAATGTGTTCTCTAATATTCAACCTTTAATATTGTCTTAGAAATTTATCACCAGTATCTATCAATAAATAATTAAAACGACTGAAACGGTTATGACTCCTACTGCCAGGGAGCTAGGTTCTATTAAAGTTTTTATGCAGTTTTCACCATACCTTTGAAAATAATATCCTTAACATTACTTAATAATCTTAATATTTTCTGAACGCTGATAAATAAAAATTATTTGAAATCTTTTAAAGATTTATATAGAACACAGCTTTGTGCCATTTTTGAAAATGCCTGAGAAGAATTCAGCCTCTTTCACTTTGAATTTATTATGATTTTTACCAAATATTTAGTCTGAACATTTTATTTAGTTCTGAATCCATTTCTGGCTTATGCATGCCTGCTATGGCTCCGGCTCATTGTGGAAACCTCCCAGGTTTAGAGCCAGATGGTTGATTGTTCACAGCATGACAAACAGGCTGGCTGTAACTCGAAGAGGCTATAAAGCAAGTGAACTGTTTCTGGAAAAGCAAATGCCATCATCATCTCTTAATTACAGAGTAAATATTGGCTCTGTTGGGCTGGATATACAACTGTTCTTCTTGTGAGACATTTTTCAAGGGCACATTGACATTGCAGACACTGTTTTTAATCTAAATTTACAAGCCACTTTATTCGGTACACCTCGCTAGTACCGTGTTGGACTCCATTTTAAAACTATTAATTCCTTGTGGTATTGATTCAGCAAGGAGTCAGAAACATTCTTCAGAGATTTTGTTGTAACAAGTTGCCTTGACAGCCTGATGCAGTTGTAAAAGGTTTGTCAGAAGCTCATCCGTGTTGCGATTGTCCCGTTTTAACCATCCCCAAGGTGCCTTATTAGATTAAGATCTGGTGACTGATTCGAGATGTTTGGGCAAGGCGGGCTACAGATTTTCAACAATGCTCTTTTCAACTGGTACTAATGGGTCCAAAGCAGGCCAAGAAAATATTCTCCCCACCATTTCACCACTATCATCTTAATCTGCTGGCAGGATGAATGCATGTGCCATAAGAGAGAGAACTGTGCATGAAATTCCCAGCAGATCTGCAGTTTCTGAAACACCCAGAACAGCGGGTCTTGCACCGACTCATGCTCATGCACCGTTTGATCTTCTGCAAGTCATCATCAACACATCTAGGTGCAACGAGTTGCTGCAGTCTGACAGGTTCTCTCATTTTCAGCGTAAGGAAGTGGAGAGGTGTGTCTAATAAAGTGGCAGGTGAGGGAATGTGATGCAGCTTCATTTAACAGTTGTATTATATTGTTCAATAACCCTATAAATGATGGAAGGCTACAGTCTCCTGTGGAGTGTCGGAGCATGAAGGGTCAAAGAATGTTCTTAGAATATTTTTGAATTCCCCTCTTTCTGTATCTGTTAGCAGAATCTGCTGTCACTTCTTTCTGACATACATGCATCTGATTGATTTGGGTAGCAATATTCTTGATAAGAATTCCATTATGGTACATATATACATTCTGATCTGCACTCATAACCTGTATTCTGCTATCTGATGAAAAAAAAATGTCTGGAACAAGTACTAATGTGACACTGCAAAGTGAAATCTACATAAATTTTAGATAGAAGGAGATGAAGTCATCTCCTTAGATATTTATGTAACTAAATTAGAATACCTTGCAAAAGCCAGTAAGGTGACGGCATGCATTCATATTTCAGCACAAAAAGAATCTGTCCCTATTGTTTAGCAGTGGCAGATTTTTTTTTTTAAAAGTAGATTGCCTGCATGAAAGATTTAGACTTCAGGACGGGTGCTGTGTCCTCCAAGTGCACGTGTCCTTTTGGCAACTCAAAGTTTTTTGGCAACAAGGGAAACACTTTACTACAGTCATTTGTGTGGCTACCACCCACTCTTTGTTTGACAATACCTTCTCTGTTATTCCAAATGACACATTTCTGTGACACATTAGCCTAGCAAACATATTTAAGGATCAAATATGGGAAATGTAGCTGTAATAACTACATCATGTATATATTTTCCCGTACCGTTCATACTTCATTCTTTTAGTAATATATGTCACCCAAACATGAGATGGGAGAGTTACCATACGTTTGGCTGTAAAACTGAACTGACCTCTTAGAGAGGATTTTATGTAGCAAGGATTACTCTATTCTTTTGGGACCCAAACAAATTCCTCCTCAGACAATCTTTGAGTGCAGGTTTTGGGAAGGATTCTCCAACACAGCTGTGTTTTTAGTGCTAGGCTTGGCTATCATATATTTTTAAGTTGGTAACTTTCTGTATTTGTGGCTCCCCCCTTCAGCTGCAGAGGAAGAGGCACATAGGCAACGACATTGTGGCCATCGTGTTCCAGGAGGAAAACACTCCCTTTGTACCGGACATGATCCAGTCCAACTTCTTGCATGCGTATGTTGTTGTGCAGGTGGAGAACGCATGCTCAGACAATGTTACATACAAGGTTTGTTTCACAGAATGACAGTTTTCTATTATAAAATTTTCATGTTTATCTGATAAACACGTTTCAGATCCATTTGAAGTTTGCTTAGAGGGCTGAATCCTAATTACTAGTGTTATCTCTTAAATTACCATAATGTTTTGACGTAATTATTTAGAGTCAAGGGAGAAATGGTTATTTTTTTTTCCTTATGAAATAGAACTTAAATAAAACCCTCTCAATAACCTATTAAACCATCTGTTTTTGCTGTTATGAAAAGAGACGCAACATGCATTTGCTTGACTTTCAATATGCTGTGCAACCTGATAACACACTGCCCTTATGTTTCTTTTTTTTTCTTTTTTGTTGCACCTACAAATACTAGATCAGCAAAGACTTCTCAGATCACATAATGATACTCACAGTAATTACTGTATACATATCAGTTTCCAAATGACACCTTTACCCTTTTGTCTCTTTGGTCAATAAATGTGATTTTCTGAATGATTCTTAGTAAAATTGAGAAGCGGTTTCAGCATGTGTGCATATTTTCTCCATTTGTGGATAATGTCTCTCACTGTGGTTCACTGGAGTATTAAAACATTAGAAATTATTTTGTAACACTTTCCAAACTCAGACATGTTAATAACATTCTGTTTTGTTCTTGAATTTCTTTAGATGTGTTTTCTTTCCTTTTTTTTTTTTTTCTAGCCTACTTCATGTTGTCAGACAGATCAGGCTCATTTTAGGGTTTTTCTTAATTTTAGTGGTTGGGCAGTAATCAGGCCTTGGTGTGGCCTATAAATCAAAGATAATTTGATTAATCACAGTTCTTTCATGATTTAACAAGATCATGGGCTGCAATTGCTTTTTCACATAGATCCAGGTTTGTTTGGATTTTTTTTTCACCTCTTAAAAAACATCCTGATTAATAAATGACATCACCATTCAGAAACACTTTTCACCAGTGTGTCTAAAATGCAAAAACAAAAAAACAATCTTTCTCACTTTTATGTTTTTTTTGTTTGTTTGTTTTTTGTTTTGTTTTTTTTTTTGCTCAGGTGTCAGTCACAGCTAGAGATGATGTACCTTTCTTTGGACCTGCTCTACCTGACCCCGCCATCTTCAGAAAGGTCAGCAACCAAACAAACACATCTGTTTCCCAGGGAGACGCCATATACCTTCCTTTATTCTTCTCCAAATCTTGTGTATTTTTCATCCTCAGGGCCCTGAATTCCATGAGTTCCTCTTCACGAAGCTTATCAATGCGGAGTACGCCTGCTACAAGGCCGAGAAGTTTGCAAAGCTGGAGGTGAGAAGCATATTTAAGAAAACATTGTCATTTTTTTCCCCCATTTATTATAATGTGTTTATTCATGTTGCTACAATCTAGCATCCGTCTGCTTGCATCTATCTGCAACCTACTGACTTCATCGTCCTCAAAAGTGAATTTTTAGATGTACTGTCACTGAAAATGTAGTGGATTTGTTTGTTGACAGGAGCGAACACGTTCGGCCCTGCTGGAAACATTGTACGAGGAGCTGCACATTAACAGCCAGTCCATGATGGGTCTGGGGGGGGACGAAGATAAGCTGGAGAACGGAGGTGGAGGCGGAGGGGGCGGCTTCTTTGAGTCCTTTAAGGTACCGCGTTATTTTTTATTTTTTATTGATTAAGTGCACTGGTTATCTGCAACTGCACATGCATGGGCAAGAGTGGTGATGAGTGGAAAAACTTTTCGGATATTTTTCTTTTCGTCCTCTCCTTTCTCTTGGCTGGGATTCTGGGTATTCACACATGAGGAAACAAAGCATAGAAAATGTGCAGTATCTCAAAGGACCAGTCCTTTGGCATTTGCTGTCCTCACTTGGCTGTGACTGCTGAACTCAGTGGGTTTTCACATGGCGCTGTGGCTTTGGAGGCTGCGGAGTGTCCTCTTGTGTATGAAAGGCACTTTGCTCTGACTGAGAGTTCTCCATCACTGACCGTGGTGAAGCGACACCCAGCTACTGAGGCATGGCAGCAGGAATTGTGATAGCTGATGAGCAATTTAATGACCCTTCATTACGCAGCTTATGATGCAATTTGCACATCTCCCCATGGGCAGCGTTCCATTAATGTTTTTCTTCAGCTAACCTTTTTTCTTCAACTTCAGTCTCAGCTGATCTCAGTATGTCTGTCAACCAGTTTTTCTCCAACCTTTTTTATAGACTACCTTAAATGTGCTCTTGCCCTTCTATTGCCAAGTTGCCAAATACTAACTTGCTGTCTCTTTGTCTTTGCCACCTTTGCAAGTTACATCTGTAAAGATTTTCCACTCTTCTTCGTCTCTGTTGTAGTACAGCTGGGTAGATTGCATTGTCCTGCTGTCTCTTAATTTTTGCAGTCCTTGTCTTAGTCGTCTTCATGTTTCAGACTCATCTACGTTCAGCTGATAATAGATCATTTTAATGAAGATGTATCTTCATCTTAAGCAACATTTTCTTAAGCAGCATACCCTTAGTTTACTTTCTTCCTGTTGTCCATTGATCTACACTACCAATAAAAGTTAAGAAACAGTCCTGCATACACAACACACCTTTGTATTCACACACATATTACTCACACATCCTATAAAACACTTGCTATTAAAACTACATTTCATTAATCACCTCAAAACATTTATATTTAATCACATCTAGCAACAGATCTAATAAACTCTGTTTTATTAATAATAGAACAAACTGACATGAATAAAATATAATTAATTAATTAGCCAAAAACTACTATAAAAAGATTGCAGTGGAAAAATTTAATCCATTTATGTGAGGTTTTCTAATGGAACTAGGTCTGTTTTTGATCAATAATCCTGCACCAACCCAGTGATGGTCCAGTTTCAGTTTTCTGCCAGAAGTCACCAGGTTTTTATTGAAATCTTCTCCTTACCTTTGAGAAAGAGGAGAAATTCCCCCACATCATGATACGTCTGCCCCCAGATCATTCCACTTTAAATCCCAGTAGTGTTTAGCAAGCCCCAAACAATTGGTTTGCAACTCTGGTTCCAGG